CACTATTATAACCCATGCCAGGCAAGTATAAAAATTATATAACAAATACAACATTTGTATATCTCTACTATAAAGCTATGCCTTAACGTCATTGTTTCTTTCCGACCATACAACCGACTTCGGAATATTTAGTTCTGACCTAGAACTCGGAACCTGTTCAAATTAGTAGCACCATATCCATCGAACACGTGGTTGTAATCTACTAGGCTTTCCGAATTTGGGATATAAACAATATCGATCTTTTGGAGGGGGTAAGCCAAATCCCCACTTTTTGAGAAAAAATTTTGGAAAACTGAAGAAGAGTGGAAATAAGAAAAGAAAGTTGCAAGTACTTTCAAAATTTTTTAAATGAGTGTGTTAAAAAAGCAGAGCTTCTTGTTGTTTCTCCTGTGTTCTTCATTGAAGTAATGACCAAACAGCTTCATCAACAGAATTGGGCTACCCACCCATACTCCACCAAAATTTTTTATACAAGAGCACCACCTGCCAGTTATCTTGTATAATAATGCTCCTGGCTTATATGCCGAAAGTCCTTCTTTAGAGGAGTCCCCAAGAGTAGTAGTTGACTTCTAGACAAACCACTATATCGGCCACAACTCTCTAACAAGTAGTTTTGGTTGTTCTTTAGCGGAAAAATTTTGGTCTAGGTGATCGTTGGGAAAAGTTAAATGAGAGGATCTGATTGTAGACAGTTTTTAAAAATAAATATAAAGTTAAATAAATAAGATATTAAGCTGAAAATAAAAATATAAATTAATTAAATTTATATCTTTTAAACAAAAAAAAGTTTAAAAAATTCTATGCTATAATTTTTAAAATAATTATGCTTAAATAAAATTTTGAAATTTTTTTTTTTTTTAAAAAAATTAAGCAATCTTGCCAATACTTTATTAGGGTACAATATTTAACTTACAGGAAAAATATAATTTTTAACTCTAGTTATCTAGAGCCTATCTAAATTACAAATATTAGCTAATCTGGCTCTTTGCAGTACTAAAATATTCAAATTACCCATATTCAATCTGCTATAGTAAAGTTTATTTTAATATCAAAAAATTCTGCAACTGAATATTTTGATATATCACTGAATAGTATTTATAGCCTATCAAGATCACCTTCTTTCCTAATCTTTTTCTTCTGGCTTTCCAAGCAGAAGAATTCATAGTCCTCAACTAACATATAAAAAAAAAACTAATACTAATAAAATATGAAGAAATAATATAAAAGAGAAATAAAAAAATTGGCTAAATAACAAGAAAATGAAAAAAAAAACAAATAAAAGAAAAAGGAAAAGGCAGAAAAAAATAATCTATAAAAGCACTACTATAGCCCATACTAGACACAGTTATAAAAATTATATACTAAATTTAAAAATTTTGTATATCTCTATTGTAAAGCTAAGCTTTATTCTTAAATTTTATTCTAACTATACCAACCAATTTGGGTCAGTTCATTAACCAAAGCACCAATTGGTTCGTTACGTAGTGTAAAAACACTATTGCCAAAACAATCTCATATTTATATCCTACTTTGTTTGTCTGAAAATAGAAAGTGTAAACAATATTGGTTTTTTGGAGGAGGTAAGCTGGAATACCTACTTTTTGTTGAAGTTTTTGTGAGAGCAGAGAGAGGTGAAGTAAAAAAAAAAACTACTTGTATACAAAATAAAAGAGTATAAGTTTCTTTTACTAGAATTAACTACAGTTTATACCAGAACATGCATAATACTGAGTCTTTTTGGTAAGTGATAAACTCTAAACTTGCAGATAGCATATAAGAACTATCTCTAAATGACAAGTGCCATACCTATAGAAATAGTAAGTGATAAACTCTGAAAAAATTAGCAAATAGTGTATAAGAACTATCTCTAAATAATAGTTGTTGTCCTAAAGTCTCTCTTTTCATATTTTATAAACTAATATAACTATTTATATTTTTTTTCTAGTAAAAAGTTTTTTAGAAATTTTTGGTAAAAGTGATTATTGGAAAGAGTGTGATAAAAATTTTGAATTTTTATATTGAATCGATTTTTTAAATTTTAATATAGTTAAATAATAATTAGTATTACTAAATATAGTAATATATAAACTTAATTTTTTTATTAATAAACTAGCAATTTTTTTTAAATAAATAAAGTTATTTAGTATAACAAATTACAAATATTATAAAAGTTTTATAATTTTTTAAAAAATATTTAATAAATTACTATATTAAATAATAAAATTACTATATTTGATAATTTGATAATTTTATTTTAATAATTGACTATTGCTAACTTGTAATATTATCTACAGTGCACAACACTTAAAGGCTACATTTGTCCTATTTTTAAAATTTAAAATTTTAAAATTTTAATTTATTTAAAACGTTGATTTTTGATGTTTTTAAAGTTATTTGATTTTGATTGGTCAAATTTTTTGAATTTTGATTGATTAAAATGTTTTAAAATTTTATTATATAATTTAAACTAAGTTTTTTTCCAATGTGTTTCATTTTTAACTTTTTTTCATATGTAATTATATAAAAATACTATATTTTTAAAGCTATATATTTTAAAAAGTAATTATAATATTTTAAAAAATAAAGCCACTAAGCTGTAACAAATTGATTAAGCTACAAAATAGTAGCTTTCTTTTTAAAATATCTTTTTTAGATCAAAAGTTATTAGCTTTTAAAGTTTGTGTAATCTTTAAGTGTCGCATACTGTAGTTCAGAAATTAGTTTAGAAATCAGTTTGAAAAATTAGAACCAATAAAATTAAGGTTTTTTTTTTGAGTTTTAGAATTTGGTACACCTGCACCACAGTGTATCCAGATTTTGTTTTTGAATCCGGATCATATTATAATAATTAATGATTTTCTGCTTTTATTTAAATCTGAATTATTAAGTTAAAATCTGAATTTATTTTACAATTACTTTAACAATAATAATATTATTGTATGTATATAGAGTACATATATACAATTAGTGATAAAATTCTATAGGTGGTCAATTACTTTTGTTTTATATACATTTGTACAAACTAGAGACTGGACTCATTTCAACTTGTGATTTATGAATTAAGCTCAGAAGAGTGTTTGAATTATGTGATTAATATTAATTTATTTGAACTAAGATATAAAATATCTATTGATTTATTGTATTGATGCCTATTATTTAAAATATTGCTTTTGTTATACCAATCTAATTTAGTATCGCGAATCAAAAATAATATTTTTGAAGTGGCCAGTAAATCAATAGGTATTTTATGCCCTGATTTGAATTATTAAAATTATTCAAATCACTAAAATTTAATTACATTATAAGAGTGAAAATCTTCAATTTTGTGATTAGTTAAATTGAATGATAAAATTAAATAGAATTTGAGCCAATAATATTTGCTAGTGCTTTAAAATTGCTTATTAATTGCTTATGAGTTACTTATTAGCTACTTATTAGTTTTTATGAGTAGTGCTCTGAATAAATTAACCAAAATAACCAAAGATAGCCCAAAATAACCTGATTATATTATAAATTATAATTCATATATCATCTAATTTATATAGTCACAAATCAGAATTTAAATTGTAATAAACTTGAATTATTCAAGTCCAGTTACTAGTATAGACAATATCAACATAAGTATTACAAATTCAGTAGATTTGATTTTATATTCAAATTTAAATCAAGTTTAAAGGAAATCAGATTTAAATTTGAAAGTCGAATCTGGTTTCAAACTCTAGTCACATAATATGAATTATGTAACAATATATATAATAAATTTAGTTAAGTAAAAATTATTACATTCAAAATCATATTTGGAATTATCGAATAGCATATTTAAATAACTATCAAATATCTAATCTAATCAACTAAACCCTAACCACTAACCACTAACCTTTATCTAACCCTGACTCTAACTCTAGCTTTAACCCTAATTACTAAAATTAGCTCTAATATAATAAAATACCAAGAAGAACGAAATTACACCACCCATAGCATTCAATATCAAAAATGATGACACTTTTAACAATGCGAAATAGACAATACAAATAACAACAGAGATGATACTAGTGAAGTAAAGTAGACTAATTAGTTATAAAATAACAAAAAAAAAATACAAACACTACACAAATCAAATGGTAAAAACCACCAAGTGTACAAATAACCCGACACTCTACTCATAATAAAGCACCAAGACAAATGGCCTAAAATGACTATAGAAGAATAGTGAAAAAGTTAGTTATGCAACAACAAGAAAAAGTGTCAAAGATGATATCAGAAGCAGGTCAAATTACGAAAGCTACTCAAATACAATACAAATAATGTGACATCTACTCATAATAGTAACACTAAGACAAATGGTATTAAATAATGACTATGAAAAAAAAGTGGAGAAATTAGTTAGATAACAACAAGAAAAAGTGACTATGAAAAAGTACTAGTGACACCAAAAGAAATCGAATAACAAAAACTACTCAAATGCATTGCAAATAATGTGATACCACCTAACTTGAAGACACCAAAGCAAATAGCATAAAGTGACTACTTTGAAAAAAAAGATAAGTAATTAGTCAAACAACAACAAAGAAAAACCACCAAATAAAAACACCAATGATACAAAAGCAAACTGAACAATGAAATTCACTTAAAGGCAATAAACAATGATAACACCTACCTATAACAGCAACACAATGCGAAATAACAACTTCAGTAATGAAAGCTCTAGTAATAACAACTTTAGTAACAATGACTCCAACTATGACAAAATTAGACTGCTAAAAAAAAAAAAAAGCTAGTTTAAAAATTAAAAAGCCTGATATTATCAAATAATATAACCGGTGATCAAAAATATAAATAATAATGATCTTCACCCAATGTAGGTGATATCATTTAGTGCGAAAATTAGTTAAAATTTATAAAATAATATATATATAGCTAAAAATAACTATAATTTTTTGTAAGTTTTTATAAAATAGTTAAATTATTAATATTTTTATTTTAAATTTTAATTATTAATACTCATTTTTATCTCAATAATCACTTTTACTATATTTTTTTGAAAAAAACAATTTATTAAAAACATAATAAGCATGTACTTTAGTATTGTTATAAGTTAGAAAAAAGCTATAAATTAGCAGCTATTATTTAGAGATGGTTCTTATACGCAATCTGCTAACAGCTTCAGAGTTTATTACTTACTGCAAAAGTAATGACACTTGTCGTTTAAAAATAATTCTTATATACTATTTGCTGACAAGTTTAGAGTTTATCACTTACCAAAAAAAAAATATTACATGCCCGCCCCAATAAGAGTTTAGTAGATTGCTGTTCTTTTAATAAAGGAAACTCACACTCTCTAAGAAAAGGCATAAGTAACTTAACTCTCTCTTGCCTTTCCACTAGTCTTACAAATTTTTCAACAAAAAGTAGACAATTCAGCTCACTTTCAAATAATTAGTATTGTTTATATTCTAAATTAGATTAAGATAGCAGACTACAACCATATGCTCAAATGAGGTGTTGCTACTATATTTGGCTGAGTTCCAGGCTAGAAACCCCTAATAGTGACAGCAGGTGGCTTAAAATACAGGTTCTCGAATGACAGTAGCACCTGGCTTGAGATATGAATTAGGACAGACATAACAATGAACAGATTTGGAATAGAATATAAGGTCAGAAAGAAAAATTAAATATTAAAACAAAACTTTACAATAGAGATATACAAATTTTAGGTTTGCTATATAATTTTTACAAGTCTTGTACAGATTATAATAGTGCATTTTGTTCTTAATTGTTTGTAAGTCATGACTGTAACTTCTTTTCTTTTGTTTTTTCTATCTTTGTCTTTTTTCTTTTCTTTATACTAATGCATATTATATCTTTTTTTTTTTACTTCTTTTGTATTCATCTTCTTTATACCCTTCAATATTCTGTTCTTTTTGATTTTTTTTCATTGTAAATAGATTAGGAGCTAGTCTTTCTACCAAGATTTAGATAAAAGAAAGAGGTGATTATGACAAGTTGGTAGTTCTTGGCTAGTGATTTGTGGGCTTAAAATCTGATGTTAAGATCTAGATAAAGCAAGGAGGCTGCTTCTACCCCAACAGGTCACATATAGGTCCAATTGGAAACTGGATGAGTCACACTTTAGTTATGTTGGCAGCATTTTGCTGTATATAAAATCTTGTAGTAATTATATAGAACTGAAATAAAATTGTGGCATGACAACTGTGTTTTATAAAAAAAAAAATACTCATTTTTATAATAACACTAACTTTAAATTTTACTAGCAAAATTATAATATTTAATATATATATATATATATATACTGTATATATATAGTATTAAATAAATAAATTATTTATTAAATTAATAAAGTTTTGTTCAAACAAGTTTATATCTAAACAAAAACAAATTATATAGCTACATACTAAATGCTATAACTTAATACGCATCATACAAATTTTATATATGCAAAATATATACTGTATATATACAGTCAACTCTGGATATAATGAACCTTTTTATAACGAACTCAAATTTTCAATATTAGTTCAGTATAACAAGAGCTGCGGCTATTAAAAAACATAGTAATTCTATATAACGAACTTTTTTTTTGGCCAGAACTGAGGGTTCGGTATAGAAAGAGTAGACTGTACTATATAATATACTGTAATATATATATATAATTAATTTTACTATAAAGTTAATGTTAAAAAAAATAAAAATGGCGCTAAATTATTTTAATAAGTCTAAAACCGATCGTTATATGTTAATATTTCCAACAATCGTTTAACTCTTAATAAACATGTTATAGTACAAAAAGCTTCAACAATTGTTTCAATTTTTTGACTTTCAAAAATTCCATCGATAATTTTAAAATTACCAGTTAATTTGAAATTTTGCAAAGTTTAAAACCAAAACATGAATGCTAAAACTTAAAATATTTTTATACAAATAAATAATTGCCTATACAAATGAACTAATTTACATAATCGAAGCCATAAAATAGTAGTTTATAATACCAACTACATTTTTAACTACATAGTTATTTTTGTAGACAATTTTGAATCAGCTTTAGAAATAGAATTTGTCTGAAGTTTTATGCTACATAATGCACATGTACAGAACTAAGTATTAATGACAATTGCTAGTTCTAAACGGCAAGTTTCTTCGATGTACATGCAATTACTTTCTAATGCAAATTATTTGCTTGGTTCATTTACTTGCAAGTCAAAAGAAAAAACTCCAAATTAGCTATTAATCCATAAAGACAAAAAGAATGTGCTCTCATTCAATTTACTATTTTTTTTTTTTATTACATGTAGTACATAACCTATTATTAGGATGGTAAGTTAACATTCAAAATTTAAGGTAAACAAACAAGAATAAAATTTCATACATACCCTCTCAAGTTCTGGTCTTACAGTTCCAAATGTTCCTACCACACCAGCACCACCACCAGACGACTCTGAATCACTCCAATTTCCTCCACGTGCATGAAAACGAGCTCGATTACACACCAAATGCGCATAATAAACGGGCGGAACCTGCATAGAAAGAAGTATAAATACATTTAATGACTCATATTGATTTATTTATAATATATACAGTAACAAACATGGTAAATTGCTCAAGATTCATACCAATGAGACAGCCCTGGTGCACCTTGCATAAAGATAACATAAATTATACGACATTGTTTGCAAACTAATGATAAATTATGACATAAATTTATTATATGACGAAGATTATATAACAAAGAGAACAGAAATTTAATATAAAGACAACTTACGTATCTGGAGTAAAATTATTTTCATCATATAACACACGATAATGTGTCGGGCGCGAAGTTCCTTGAAGCCCAGCATGACTTTGTAAATCTATATAACATTTTATAATCGTAAGAACATGAGATATATGAGAACAAGTTGTAATATGAGGAATACATAACGCTGGAACTTACAAAAATCAAACTGATACGGATGTGTAATGTCTGATTCTATAACCGTCCCAGGAAGACAATTTCCAGTTCTGTCAGCATCTCTTTTTTCAATTGGGAAAAAGCGAGTATGATGTCTTTTTTGAACAATGATAAATGTTATCGTTGGTTTATATTGAGATTCCAATCCTTGGCATGCGCCTGATTAAGACAAACCATATAAGAATAATAACTTTAGAATATTAATGGATACAAATTATTATACATACCTTTTATAGCTTCTATTTCACTTTTAAGAACCTGTGCAAATTGACCATCAGACACACCATCCCGATAAAATACAATTCTATCTGGTTTTCTACCACACGATTGATAAAAAGTTCTTAACAATTGTTTAATCATACTGGAAAGATCCGCTATTATTTCGGATTTTCCTTCTTGAATACGCACGGCAGCAGCATATTGAGATGCTTTGGCATCGACAGAAGAACATAAACCAGCAATGGATGGGCGAGAGGGATCGGCTAAAATAACGATAAATTATCATAAGATCATAATTCATCTAAAGTAATTATTATTAAATATAAAAATTAAACATACTAGCTGAAGGATGTGTAACGTCAGCCCCCAAAAGAATTGTAGGGCGATCAGTTACAAAAGGGAGTTGATTTGTGCTTAAGAAAGAATTCATCCCTCCAATTTTTACATTCATTTTAAGACATACATTTGCACAATATTGTTTTTTAGCGGCCAACATATGTTTAGCCTGAATACATTGTGATGCGACACCGATGATTGTATCGCAAACACGCTTGATCTCTGCATATAAGTCAACACCAGTATTCGGTAGAACACATAATATAAGTTGAGGATGTGCTTTCGCTGTATTTCCAGCAAGAAGCCACATTTGTTTTAATGAATCCTCAATATTCCCTTGTGGGTTATGATGTTTTATCGGCGGCGACCTATTAGGAATATTCTAGAAAAGTAATAATAATATTTTATTATAAGATTTATATGTATGAAAAAAAAGGTAATCCTTAACTTACCATGCCTGTGTCTTGACATGTGACGACAAGTTCCCTAATAAATGCCTGAACGGCCTGAGGCGGATACTGATTTTCATGTCCAAATACGACAACTGACCAAGATCCAAGAGTAGCACCTGTAGCAACTTTCTTGTCTCTTAAATTCCATACGCCATCTTTTGGCTGAAAAACAGGTTCACGAGACGATGGGTGATACTCTATTCTAGGAATTGGTAAGATCCTAGCTGGAATCTATAATGAATACATTACAATTAATTAATTAATTACAGAAATAATGGTATGAATATTGAAAAAAAAATAAAAAATAAAACTTACTACGGCCATTTCTCTTGAAATTTGCATTCCAAATTGTTGCAAATACTCGTTTCTTCGATAATCAAGGATTTCGACACCCTGCATTATTTTATTAGCACGAGTATTTGGAGCCTGACATGTAAATCTAATCATATCTGCTACTTGTTTTTCATTAAGTTTCCTTATATGACGTTGCCCCTATTCATTACAGGGAATCACGGAGATAAATTAGGATAAATTAGAATATATGCAAACTTAGTAATTTCATAAAACACATATATATATAATTGATACATTACCTCTACAACATCACAAACTTCCATAGGAAAGAATATATCTTTTCTTACGACAACACAAGGAAGAAATGGATATTGTAGACGCTTCTGATATTGTGATTGAAAGTATGAAGCAACATCTTGAGTTGTTCCACCTATATCGAATCTTGTATTATTCGCAGAAGTCTGCGTAAGTTTCATTATTTTATGTTTTCGCCTTGAAGCCGGAGTATCACCACGATGAATGACACGAATTTTAAGATTCTTTAATGCTTTTTCGACCATAATTCTTTCCCTTTCTTGCAAACCTCTACGAAGGTCATCCGGAGACCTACAACCTATTAATGATACTATAGTATCGACTAGATTACCACTTCTATAAAAAGCTGTAGCACTCAAGTCAATATTAATCATCATCTTTTCTGAAAGAATATAAATTAAATATTAAGAAAAAAAAAATTAAAAAATAATTTTACGCATAAATTAATAGAATGAATAATAATAATAAATTTAAATGTATATACTAACTCATAGTCGGACGAGCGGATTGATAATAACCCTGCCATATTTCAGCACCACCAGAAATTTGCATTGAACCACTTGATGTATAAAAAGAACGACCAAAAGTTTCATATCGTAATGATGGACGATATCTTATAAGAACGTCAAGGGCGGTAATGGCTATATATGAAAGTTAAATAAATGCGAATAAATCATTATAGTATTTAACATATATAACATTTTAAATGTAAAGTTTAAACATACCAGTCAAACAATTTGAGGTTTCTGAACCTCCATTATTAAGGAATCTGTGAAGTTCTTCCATATTTATTTCGCCAACTTTTTTGATCCTAATTTTAAAAGCTCGTGGAGGACGTTTACCAGAAGGAGCACCGTCTTCCTCGGGTAATATGATCTGAAATCAAATGGTAGTGAAGTTAATAAAAAAATTTTTATAAAAAAAATGAATCAAATTAAAGAATTATTACATCGAAAGTGTAAGCGTCACCAAACGCAAAATTTTTTGAAGAAAAAATATTTTTACGGCCTATAAAATAATATATATATATATATTAACGAACGAAATCGAAATAATTTATTCTTTTTCAGTCTGATCAAGTTAAAAATAACGCGTAAAATAAAGTAATAGAAACATTAAAGGTATTAAAGGTCAAAAAAAAAGGCATATTTCACGTGTTGTTATTAATTCGGTAAAGAAACATCACGTTCGAACCTAAAAAAAAGCTTTGTTCAACAAACCATCATAAACGGGTCTTGCTCCCGCTAAAGCGGTGGTTCCGAAATTAGTTTCAAGCTCTTGAAAAATTCTTCTGTTTAGAGCAGGAGGAACGTCGGGCGTTATAGTAGCATCATAATGCATTATATTGCTGTCTGGTAAGGAAAGAACTTCAAAGAAGTTTGCACGGACGCGTGTGTTCCTACCCTGGCTACCAAGACCAGGTCTTCTTGCAAACTCTACTAGGGCAGCCATTTCAGTTTTATTTTTTAGATTACTTTTTAGGAAATATAGTTAAGAGTGTAAATTTGAAAGAAAATGATAAACAGCTGAGAAAGGCTATCAATTTCAATCGAAAGAGAACGTAGAAAGCGTGGGAGACGGATCGTAAAAAAAAAAAAAAACAAAAAATAGATTTTTTTGAGTGGCTTAAGTGAGTAACGTGAGCAATATTGTACACAAACAAGATTCCTATCTTGTTTAAAATGAAAATTATTGGCTACTAAGAAAAAAACGGCTTATCCTGCATAACAAACGACTGGCGTACGTACCTTAGGATAATATTAAATCATCCGTCAAGCTTGTTAGTGAAACACGAACGCGGATAGTTAAGAACCTTTAATAAAGAGACGAGTAAAGATAAATAAATAAAAAAAAAGAAAATCCTTTTTATTAAACTAAGGAGATTATCGACCAATCGATAATGATCATGATTGATAAACTTTTTTTTGATCACCGAACACAGCCTCGGGAATAGATATAATGGGTTTAGGAAAAACGAGACGTAATCCGTGACGAATCAAAGAATCGCGAAGTATCCGATTAATTCGATTACCGATTAATTAATTAAAAAAATTTTTTTTTTCGTTTTTTTTTTTAATTCTTTGGTAAAAAAAGAAATTTTCAAATATTTATCAAGATTCAAGATTGATAATATAGATTTTCGTATATAATTATATAGACTTTAATGATTTTTTAGAATTAAAAAAAAAAATTTTTTAAATTTTATTATACGTAGCATTTAAAAAAGAAATAAAGAAATTTTTAAAAAGTGAGTAATGAAAGTAAGTGTTTGGTCGATGATTTACGCATAAAGTCTATTGTTTCCATAAAAAAAAAATAAACTTTCAGCCCAATGGTAAAGATCATATGGTTATTAACATTTTTGGAAAGGGCAACTAATAATTTAAAACTGTTTGCGCAGGTGTCAATTACTAATGTCAATAATACTTTTCTAGAATATATGTAAACGGTTATTTTTTTTTTCAATTATTGAAATATTACTAATATTACTGATTTGAAGAATTTCATAGCCAGTCATTTTGTAGGTTACATATTTTTTTTTTTTTTTTTTTTTTCTCGGGTAAAAAAAAAAAAAAAACTTTTTATCAATACATGCATTAACCTGTTATTAAATGACGTAAATCCTTTTGATTTGAAAAGAGAAAAAAATTAACAGGTAAAATCACTGACGCGACATGTGTTAACATTTTACCACGTATCAAGGTTATTTATTGACAAGATACAGGCTGTACAGTCTGACCAGCTTGTTTATTCATAAGCTTTAAATTTCTCACAGCCACCAATAACGTTCGTGATCATCGATCAATGGAAAGAGGAGGATCAACGTGACGCATTTAAAGTAACATTATCACAAAGAACATGCATTCTATCCTGTAATAAGTAAAGAATAAGTCTTGTTTGTATTTTTATTTAAGTCAACATACAGTAAATTCGTCTTACCTTAAAAACATTCTAGACATGTGATTTCATTGCCTTTGCATGATCGTAAACCTGTTCTTTTCAACAATATTTGTTTTGTCACGATGGAAAAGCTTTATCTCACATCATCACATGCATAAATATATCTTGTTATATTCCGGTATATTTTTGATAGCAAAAAATTTGATTCGCTTGGCATCGGGAACAAAAAATGGGGATCGCTAAAGCAGGACTGATTCATTTACAATAAATATTTTACGTAGTAAATATTATCAGTTATAAATATTAGGATTATTAAGATTAAATTAAAAATTAATATTATATATGTAAAATTACTTAATATTTTTTATTAGTACTTCAAGATAAGTTTAGACGTTATCAAAGCTGCCGACCTTTAACGATAAAGTAAAGTTCTCATTACCTATCATCAATAATCACTTGTAACTTTTGATTTAACAACAACTTCTAAATT